TATGTTTTTAGGATAGTTGTTATTCTGAAGGGTACATTTGATGGTGATCCTCTTTTGTTGGTATGCATTCTCTCATGTTGATGCTGATCTTCTCCTGTTTGGGTCACCACTTATGATGATTTTTTGCATGGTACTGTATGCATAAGATGATCACTTTCTTCACATTCTATGGATGATGGAAATTAAAGTTAAGATATTGTCTGATGAATGCTTGTGATATACCATTCTTAAAATTACTTCAATAAGTTTATGGATTAGAGAAAATGAAAGAATTTTATAGATATTTATGCAGATGACACAGCCATTTACTCCTGTCTTTGTCATGTCTGTCAGACTTGCTACTAAGTAAACCTGGCAACCGCTCATGAAAAGGACCTCCAATCAGTGGTTAACTCAGGCAAGAAATCACTTGTAAATTTTAATGCCTCCAAACAAAATTGCTTTTTTTTTTTTAATCACCATAGAGAACTTTTTCCTGCCTGCCATCGGCATAGCTGATACTAAACTACAGGAGAGCAACACTTTAACCTTCTTGGGCTCATGTTTTCCACTGACATGAAATGGAGCAACTATATTGAATCAATTGCTATGTCTGCTGCTAGGAAAGTTGGTTCACTGTGTTATGCTAGAGAATTTTTCCCATCAGAATCCATTTTGCACATTTATAAATCTTCATTCATCCATGCATTTAATACTGGTCTGGTGCTCCTGCTGTATATCTCAAGATTCTTGATAAAATTCAAAGAAGCATTTGTAATGTAACTGATCCTGACCTGGCATTTTGACTTTAGTTACTTTCTCACCATGCTAATGTGGCTTACCTCTGTCTTTTTCTACAAATATTTTCATGGTAACTGTTCTGATGAGCTTTTTTCCTGGTGTCTCAACTACTAGATTGTGTGCATCCACATTGGTCTTTGCAGTGGCGCATACTGACTGCACTGGCTCCATTCCCTCCTTGTGTAGGTTTAACCGCCTTTTTGGCACCCTGGTCAACTGGTCTGCCAGATTCATGTTGGATTTGACCAGTGTTATGTCCACCATCAAGCCATATTCAGCTACAAGCTCGCGAAGTGTGTTCAACTGTCTCCGCACTAGAATTTCGCCAGACATCTTCGTATTTATTCAAGCCTTGCCAGTTAAGGTGTTCCAATGATGAACACATGCTGAATCAGTAAAAAGATGTACTGTCGACACCTGCCATTTTGACAAATTGACACCCTTTTATTGTTGCGTCTAGCTCGGCCAAATTGATGTGCTTAGCATCTCCAGCCAGGCACAGCCACGACGCATCCTTAATGACGTTTCCATCTACCTCTAATATGATACCTGTGGCTACGGAACTCGCATCCACCCATACGTTCATTTTTCAGCCACTCACACACCAGTCTCCTCCTACTGGATTGGCCTCACAGTATTCTGGCTATTATGTTGGCTAACATGCAATTAATAGAGGCATTCTCAAATTTTATCATCCCAGAAGAGCGCTTGCTTGTCGTTTCACAAATGCAGTGGCCACTCTTTACCCAGCAAGAAACGGAAAGTGGCCCACAAGTTTTCCACTTAACAAGAATATGCACAGGTGAGTTATCCTCACAGGGATGTCGGGGATCTCCACCTCGCTCCATTGAGAGTACCATTGTCACTCCAGACCTGTAAGCCCAGCACCTTAGCTCTGTCTTCTAATCTTGTCGGTTCCTTGCACACTGGTCCGTTTTTGGACAGGAGCTCTCTCACATGTGCGACAGGAATTAGACTCTCGCTGACATAAATGTCATCAACATATGCCGATCTGGCGTTTGCAATGGTTTTGTCTTGCGATAATACTGCGTCAATTATGGCTTTTATAATGAGAGGTGCCACATTTAAACCAAAACCTAGTTGGGTGAGGCAGTATCTTTGCCACTTCACTATGACAGTTTGATAGGGCCACAGTGCCTTCTCCACATGTATCTGCAGATACGCCCTCCAGAAGTCCTACAAAGATACATCGCCCCCAATCTTTGCCATTCTCACAACTTCTATGCACAAACCTCTGAGTCAGCAGTATATGGTTCTGCAAACCCATTCAACTCATGGTAATCCAGTACTGTACGGACCTTTTACTTGCTTTCTTGTATCACTGCCATTAATGGGATTAGACACTTAGGTGGACCAAGTTCGTCTTCGGGTATGGTCACAGTCATCCATTATCCAGCCATGACTGAAGTTCCTTTTCATATTCGTCCCGTGCATAGTCAGGTACTGAATATTCTGCCACTCTATTCTTCAGGGTTATAGGCAGTTGTCCATTGGTCCACTTCCATGAGGCTGTCCATACTTTGTTATGACGGTCGAACTCTACACTGAAGTTGGGTTCAATGATGGAAATAGCAGCACATTGGGGCTTACTTTCTTCAGAAAATTGAACTTCTCCTGAGAAATTGATGTGCACTCTTCCTAATTCTTTAATTGCGTCAATCCCAAGAAGATGATCGAACTCAAGTAGTGGTCTGTCCACAATTAGGGCATTAATGTATACAGGTTGAACACGACTGTTATAGACAAGCGTATGGTTGCAAGAAAGAAATACGACAACAGTAGAAATAGATTTACGTGGTTTATTTCAACAGGTACGTGTGGGTTTGGGACAGCTACCTTGTGGTAAACTTCATAAGCCAGATTTCGGATCTAAGTCGATCTCTCATAGTAGTTCACGCATGTTGACGGTGGTTGACGCTCCCCTGCTGCTGATCGCTCGGCCTGACCGTCAGGTCTGTTCGCTGGCCCCCTGTTACTGCCTGTTGAACTTCCGTGTGACCCCTTTTATAGTGTTTTTTTATGGCTTAACAGGCTCGAGAAACGAAGCGAGTATAATTAGGAGGGAAGCATTTTTATTGGACGAAAAATAGAGCACTTTAAATATTATTTTATTTTTCGACCAGAACACGTGTGTTGGAAACATTTGTAAAGAAAGATAATGGTCATTTTGTGACGGGGCTTTATCCTGTTCACATCCGGTTCTTGCTCTTGAGTATTTGCCTGTAAATCAGCCGAGATATGTCTTATTTTATTTTATAACACGACTAACATTCAACGCAATATTGCCCTGTCCACAGCATTTTAGTGCCTTACTGTCGTCAATTGCGACATGCACATTTGCTCACCAACATCCGTGAGCACCCAGAATCAACCAGAGCTGTGCACTTCTTTCCGTCTACACGCCACCTCAATGATAGGTAGTGCTGTGTTTTTAGTTGCTTGGAGAAAAAGACCAGCGTTGACGTCTGTTCCCCGGATCCATTTACTTGGCACTCTGAGGAAATGTGCCCAACCTTGTTGCACCGAAAACACCGTATCCCGTGGCGGGATCTTCGGGTCTGGGTAGCTGTCTTCTCTGAGTAGCCTTGCCTGCAATCCTTTGCCAAGTGGTTGGGACCAAAACACTTAAAGCACACAATGCCGCCCGTCCGTTGAGCTGCTATATTCGTCTGTTGAGTTGCTGCGGCAACTGACTCATCTGGCTCTTTGCTATTGGTCATAACGGCCCGAGCATGAGTCAGGATCTGGTCCAACGTCATAGTGTCCATTCTGGATGATGCACGGAGAAGTTGCTTGACTTGTTGCGGCAGTCCAGAAATGAAGGCACACATCATCCATCGTTCAGGCAGTTGGCCACCAACCAACAAAGCTAACTGTTTCAACTCTGCTAAAAATTTGTCTACCATTTACCCTGGCCAAAATTGTTGTGATATAAACTGATCATACGCAGTGAATGAATCCACCGCATATGCAGTTATAAGGGCCTGCTTAATCTGCTCTGGATCTGACCTCTGCTCCTTTGGCAGCTGCTGACATACAGAGAGAGCCCCGGCTTGCAAGCGCAGTAGCAGTACCCGCTCAACTTTCTTCATCTCACAAAGTTCACAAACCAACTGCACATTTTCAGGTATCATTCTAATATCGAAACTTCTGTCCCCATGATTAGAGAAAAGGCCGAAATATCTTGTAGTTTAAATAAGTCTGTATTGCTGCAACGTCACTTGTACAAATCAAAATATCGCTGGTTCAATTCACCGTCCTTGCTTTCTTCACACATCACTACGTATAGCCAACGTTTTTTTTCTCTTTATACTGCTCCAGCACTCTTTTATCAGGCCAACACTGTGGTTCACCAGCCAATCAGCGTTCTTCACTGTTATTCTCGGTTACACAGGCAAATTGCCTCCTCCAGATCGACCAATCAGCACATGACTTGCTACTGGTGGAAGCATTCCAAACTGTACAAAAAACCCTCATCCTTGCACATACTGCTAGAATGGCTGGATGGGAGAGTAATGCTATTTTCACGAAGCAAACTTGCTGATGTCACGTATTATGGTAAGACCCTTATTTTCCTATACACCAGATGCAAGCCACTCTGGCTCGCTTGCTTCTACGGGGCTGTTCACTACACACTTCTATTGTAACAGTTTCTTTTCTTGCACTTCTTACCTGTGGACCTCCCTTCCTATTCCTTGCTACAATCTTCAAAAATTTAAATACAATGTCAATTGCTATCTTCTGTCTTCCTGAACCCTGTTACTTTATTGGCTTTTTTCTAATTTCTCAGTAACATCTTATTCCTTTCACTCCCTGTAACCCCTTTCATCCTAGTAGCAAAGTCACCCCACTTGGCTTGAAACAATTAAAAAAAAATCCTAGTTTTTCAATTACGTAAAAAATGAACCATAATGAAATGCCAAGAATTCTTTATAGTCAAAAATGAAAAATCTTTCATTTGCTAATAATGGTAAAAGAACAAACATGTCAGACAAAGCATGAGTAAAACTAAAATTAATTTTTAAATAAAAAAAATATTGTAGATTATTGTACATTTTAAATCATAATTAGTTTACTTTTAGTACTGAGTATATTCACTGATGAGGAATCACACTTTATATAAGTATGTATAACTGCCTATCTTCATTTATATTTCTCAGAATGTTGTTCTTTTAGATATGTATTCAAAATAATTCTGCTTACCCAAAAGGATTATTAAAAGCAATTGCATAAACCACATTTGTATGTCCATTGAAAGTGTGAAGTTCTTCACCTGAAAGCAGTATTCCACATTTTGCATGTGCGATCATAACTTCCAGTGATAAAACTGCAAATATAAGGTTTTATTAAAATAGTGAAACATTTTGTGTAGTATTGATTAATTACAGAATCTCTTTCATTCTTATAAATAGTATAATGCTGAGTTATATCTAGTGCAATATTCTTGTTGGATGATCAGTACTGCAGCTGGCACTATAGAAATATGTCGAGGGATTGAAATGAAAATTGAATTGGAACTTTTACTTACTGGAAGATTTATCTGCTGTAAGCCCTGGAGTATGTTATTAAAATCAGTGAATTCAAAACTTTGCTTTTATCACATAAAACTATACAATTATTGAATGTAAAACAATAATCTTAGTATTTACATTGCAACAAAAAAATCAATAATTTTCATATTATTACAGTTCTAGCATAGAAGCCATTGAAAAAAAAGAATGAATGGCTCAGCACTTCTGCCAGTGTTGTATCTGTTTGCTTTGAGAAATTATTGCATGTACACATATACAAACATATAAACACACATGTGATGTAGTGATATCATTGACTACCAGAATTGAAGGTTGTTTTTGATAAAGATAGCACAAGCATGAGATATATCAATCAGTAGATTTCGGATAACATGTTAGAAGCCTTTAACTGGTTTTCATGTTTTCTTTTGGTATCCCTAACAGATCTTTGCTATATTAGTCTTTTTTTTGCTGTAAAACACTACATTTTGGTGACAATGATGAGAACCTCTTAAACAAGGATTAGTTTTTATTAAAAGAAAGAAATTTAACAGAATGGTAAACCTCTCCATGATTCCACTATTTGCATTATATAACAACAAACAATACAGGCATGAGGTGTCACCAATGAGTGGAAAAAATTTGGGAACCTGTTATGTACATTATATATATAAATTAAAGGCAATGCTCCTTCATTATGTTAAGGACAAAGTTTGTTTTTACAAACAAATAAAAGGGAATTGGTACAAGGCAGCTCATAAACAGCATGGAGGTGCCACTGGAATATAGGAGAAATCCCACACCCTCGAATAATTCACTCTAAAAACATTCAGATTTAAACAAAACCTTGCAAAGCCTAGAAAAGAGTATGGATATATACTACACCAGACTATGAACACTGTCTATTTACTGCAAGTTTCACAATGCTGAAAGCAAAATTCTTGCACAGATCACTCAGGGCTGTTCTTCCTCCAGGATTAGAAGGAAAACTCTGCCAAAAAACTGCACTCTAAAACAGCTTCTAGATGAATCAAGGAATATGGAAACCACAGATGCCTGAGTCACAGAAATAGAAAAGGAAAACCAAGAGCTATGACTGCCCAAAGTAGCAGCAGTCAATGAAGTGAAAGAAACAGGAGGACAAACCCCAACATTCCTACTCATTCAAGTTTCATAATACAATTGGCCACTATTGTGGTGGGGCATAGACCCATATTCTTTTTTCCTGCTAAAGGAGAAAAAAATACAACAACTGCAACAAACTAAATCATTTTTGTGAGAGTTTGTCAGTCTACCAGGTAAAATGAGAAAATAAGGCAAATTCCCAAAACGGTTTTCTGAGAGGGAGAGGTGATGTAGTAGGAGTGTCTTATCCTTCTAATGACAAGCCTGTCTTTTCAATCCGAGAGACACCAACAATCACAACAAAAGCTTCAATAGTTACAATCTACATAAATGGCACACTGAATAATTTCCTAGTTGATACTAGTGCCAGTATGAACATGGAGTAGACTACAGTGTGTAGCAAATCGGAACTTAAAAAAAAGAAAGTCAGAATTTATGCATATGAATCCACAAGGACACTTCTCATTCATGGATTCTTCAAAGTAAAGATCTGGTTTATAGACACTAGAATAAAATCCACTAACTCTGGTCCCCATACCAAGTTATAAAATTTATTAAACATAAACACCACTCAAGTGCTATATATCATTCATTTTGCATACCATTTCATGTATGGAAAGATGTGATGATGGAGATAAAGTGACTAGAACAACTGGATATAAAGAAAGTCATGGGGTTCACACCCTGGGTAAGTTCAGTGATAGTAGTTCCCAAGAAGACTGGTAGACATAAGAAAAGCAAACAAAGCCATTCAGAGAGAAAAATACCCAATGCCAACTTTCAATAACCTTATTACAGACTGCAACTCATCCAAAGTTTTCAGCAAATTGGAAGTCTTGAGTGTGTAACAGGAGCTATTAAATGTTTGAGAGTTGTAGCCCTTTAATTGTAGTATTAAGAAGAAACCAAGATATCATCATAAACAGAAGTTGCATGCTTCATTACACCTTTTGGCAGATATAGATATTTAAAATGCTCTTTTGGTCTTAAAATGTCACAGGACATATATTAACAAAAAAATGGACCAAATACTGAGCGATTGTAAAGGAGCTGTTGTTATATCTGATGGTATCTGCATATACAGCAAAAACATTCAAAAGAACATGATAGAAAATTTGAGACGGACAATGGATACAGTCAGAAAATATGGTCTAGTTTTCAATAAACACAAATACAAAATAAGACAAATAACATAACACTGAATACCAATGGAATGAAACACACAAAAAAAAGCTTTTCAAGAATTGAAAAATTGTATTCATGAAAACCTCTGTCTAGCTTACTTCAAACTTAATGCAAAGATAGTAATTCAAATAGATTCAAGCATGTTAAGCCTAGGTGCAACATTAATCTATGATGGCAAAATTGTTGCATTTGCTAGCAAAAAAAAATCTATTGATGCAGAATCAAGATAAGCAAACATAGAAAGAGAATTGCTTACAGTAGTGTTTGGTTGTGAAAGATTTCACACATATATATAAATGGAAAATAATTTCAAATTGAATCAGACCACAAACCATTAGAAAATATACAGAACAAAAACACTGCACAAACGCTCCTAAGATTGCAAAGAATGTTATTAAGGCTACAACCATACAATACTCAAATTATATATAAGTCAGGTAAAGAAATGATAATACCAGATTACTTATTAAGAGTACAGCCAACACAAAGTGAAGAACTTGACATAGATCTAACAATAAATATTGTTGATATATCAAAGCAGAAGCAAATAGACTTACAAGAAGCTAGAGAAGCTGAAGAGTTGAGAATGTTAAAACAAGTGATAATAAATGAATAGGCAGAGGATGTGAAAGATACACCCAAACTTATAAGAAATTACTGGTCACTGAAAGAATGTCTATTAATACAAGACAGATTGATGACTAAAGGTGAATGCATAGTCGTGCCAAAAAGTATGCAAAACAATGTCCTTCAAAGAATTCATGATGCAAATCAAGGAATAGAAATCTCTATCTATAAAAGGCAGGATGTGTGTAACGAATGCACGGCCGCAATTTTTGATGGATCTGCACCAAAATTTACATGCACATGCTCCAAGTTAGCGGGAAGGCCAAGACTGACTTTGCATTTCCCAACTCCCATTGATAGTGAAATAATCAATTTTTTCATGCTTCTATGACAGTTTTCATGTAGTTTGCAGCCATTTTGTACTGGCCAGAGTGAGAGCCTATAGCTGGCTGCCATGAATAGGCAGGAAGATTCTATTGGCCAGATGAGAGCCAACAGCTGACTGACACAAATGTTAACTAGTGCTATGCAAAAAAAAAAAAAATAGCTGCATTCGTCACAAGTGGGAAAAATTTAAATCTGCATGGCACTTTACTCCAATTGGCTCATTCACTTGCTTAAACTCAACGTTGATTCTGATTCCACAGAACTGGGTTGGGTGTGAAAAAAATATTTGTTGTTAACATTCTTTTTCATTCGGTTTTTCCAGTTATGAGTCCTTTTTAAAGCTGATCGTTTTGTGTTCATTTTGTTTAGTTCTTTTTTCATAAGAGATTTAATGTTTAGTATAGAGCTTAGAAAAATTTGCAGTGTGACATAGGCAAGACATAAGTAATGTAGCAACATCAGCATGGCAAAGGGCACTCCTTTAAAGGCAAGGAAGGGCAAAAATATTTTAAGTCAAGTGATAGCAATTGCTGTATGAGTCGTACGATTTTTGAATCAAGCACGAGGCAACACCGGGCCATGCTGCTAGTATATTAACTAAAATATAAATATATATTTATTGGAGAAAATAAACAAAGACATTAAAACAATAGTATGGTCATGTGAGAGATTATGCAACAATTTTAAATTAAAAATAGACAATGATCATTAAAAACACCCAACCACAGACCATTCCAATATATTTGCAGCTAACATTGATCAACAACTTTTACTTGTCACTGACCAATGCAGCAAAATGCCATTTAAAAAGATAATGAAGGCCATCACAAGTACAAACTGCATCAAATAATTCAAATATATTTTTGCCATTCATGGCATACCAGAACGCTTGTTGACAAACAATGACAGATATTTCATGTCATATGATGTGAAATTTATTCTACAATTTTGCCACTGAGTGGAAATTCACACATTCACATCCAGACCAAGATAGCCACAATCAAATGATTTTATTGAACAAATGATCCAAACAGTGAAAAATATATTATTTTAAAAAAAAAACAGGTAATGGATGGACTTACCAAATGGCTCTTCTATGCCTAAACTCCACTTGACAACCAATTGCCATCATCAAACAGAAAATAGGAAAAAAAGGAGTCCAATTTTATTGAACACTGACACATCAAAAACTATCAGATCTGAGAATGAATGAGTGTCAACATTTTTGTTGAAATTTAAAAAAAAATGCAAGAGACCTTCCTGAACTGATTATAGGCTGCAAAATAATGTCCTTCAAGAAAATGACAACCAAGCAATAACGATGGACAAATTTATAGAACCATGTAGTTACATTCATTCAAAATGCACAAAATGTGGAAGACATACTTTGCAATAGACAATATTTGAAGGAACTATAAAAGTACAGATCCCACAGCAAGCTTCAACACCCCACCTACTGCAGCTCAGCATGTACGGCCCAAAACTGCAGACACAGACTGAACAAATGCTGGCCAGTCACGAACAAAATTGAACCAGCCTAGAACACGAAAAA